ATACCAACCAAACCACCAAAATTATTTTATGGAACTAAAAAAATAATAACAAAGTTCATCTGGAAAAGCAAAAGGTCAATAACATTAGAGGAATCAATGAAAAAAATGTGAAGTAAGGTAGCATGGCAGTTCCAGATCTCAAACTGTATTACAAAACAAAGAAGTCGTGTTCAGTCGTGTCTAACTCTTTGTGACCCTATTTGGGGTTTTCTTGGCAAAGATACTGGAGTGGTCTTTCCATTTCCTTCTCCAGCTCATTTTACAGATGAGGAACTGAGGCAAACAGGGTTAAGTGACTTGCCCAGAGCTAGTAAATGTCTGAGGCGAGATTTGAACTTGAGAAGATGAATCTTCCTTACTTTAGGCCCAGGAATCTATCCACTGCTTTACCTAGTTGCCAATGAAATAACCTGGTACTGACTAAGAAATAGAGTGATGGAGCAATGGAATAGACTAGGTATGCAATCCACAGTATTAAACGACCATAGTAATCTAGTGTTCGATAAATCCAAAGATCTAAGATCAAAATAGTTAATTTTGATTACATTAAATTAAAAAGGTTTTACACAAACAAAACCAAAGTAGCCAAGATTAGAAGGAAAGCAGGAAATTGGAGGAGGGGGAGAATTTACAGTAAGTTTTTCTGATAAAGATCTCACTTCTCAAATATATAAAAAACTGAGTCAAATTTATAAGAATACAACTCATTCCCCAATTGATAAATGGTCAAAGGTTATGAACAGACAGTTTTTCAGATGAAGAAAACAAAGCTGTAAACAGTCATGTGAAAAATGTTCTAAATCACTACTGATCAGAGAAATGCAAATTAAAACAACTCAGAGGAACCACCTCACACCTATCACATTGGCTAATATGACTGAAAAGGAAAACAACAAATGTTGGAGAGGATGTGGAAAAACTGGGATACTAATGCACTCTTTGTGGAGTTATGAACTGATCCAACCATTCTGGAGAACAATTTGGAACTATGCCCAAAGGACTATAAAACTGTACATACCCTTTGACCTAGCAATACCACTACTAGGTCTGTATCCCAAAGAGATAAAAGAAAAAGGGGAAAGCACCTATTTGTACAAAAAATTTTATAGCAGCTCTTTTTGTGGCAGCAATGAATTGGAAATTGAAGGGATGCCCATCAACTGACAGAACCTGCAGAACAAGCTCTGGCACATGGTTGTTATGGAATACTATTGTGCTCTAAGAAATGATGAGCAAGATGGTTTCAGAAAAACCCAGGAAGACTCATATGAAATGAAAGTGAGCAGAGTCAAGAGATCATTTGTATATAGTAATAGCAATACTGTACAATAATCAACTGTGAATGATTTAGGAATTCTCAGCAATATGACACAAGTCAATTTGGAAGGATTTATGATGAAAAAGACTATCTACCTCCAAAGAAAGAAGTAATAGAGTCTGAATGCAGATCAAAACATACTTTTTAAACTTTATTTTTCTTGGGAGTTTTTGTCTGTGTTTTTTTGTAACATGGTGAATATGGAAATAAGTTTTTCATGACTGCACAGGTATAATCCATAACAAAGTGCTTGCTTTCTCAAGGAGAGGAGAAAAGAGGGAGGGAAGGAGGGAATTTGTAATTCAAAAATACTTTTTAAAATGTTTAAAAAAACCTGTTTTTACATGTAATTGAGAAAAAATAAAATAAAAACATTTCTTTGTTTTTGTTTTTATTTTTGCCTGAAAAAGAGGGTTAGCAATTCCAATCAGGAGCTGTGGAGAACCATAGTCATTAAGAAGCTACAAGGGGCAGAATACTAGAGAAGTGATGACTGACATTACATGCGTTTAAATGCCAATATTGGTCAGATCTGTCTCCTGAGGGCCTTGAGACTGCTGGGGAGCAACATGCTGAGACACTGAGACACAACTGATGAGGTCTAGAGGTTTAGGGGTGCTGGGACCCCACGATCATGACATGTGAATCCTGCCTGAAAGAATTTGACCCAAGTCTTCTTTCAGCCAAAGACAAGGTTTAGTATCTGCCGTGTTGGCCAGACCCTTAAGGAATCTGAACATCTTCGAGCTATTGGCTAGGTTCTTAACGAATCTGAGCAGTGGCTAAAAATGTTTATTTTTTAAATAAATAATCACAGAGAGAAAGCACTAGCATTAAGGAGGACCAGAAAAGGCCAAGTTTTTTTAGAAAAATGGAGACTAATATGTGGAAGGGAGGAGAAATTCATTGCAAGTATGGGGGACAACCTACAGAAAGGAACTTTGAAAAAGTTGGAGTGTTGTGTGTGAAAAGATTCAGCTCCTTTTTACCCTAGCAACCTTGCTTTGATTATAATGAACAATGATTACATGTATGACGAACATCACCACTATGTACGGTGAGCATGACAATCTTAAAAGTGGATAGAAACCTTACTAGCACTAAATCAATCGGTGAATAGGAATTTATTAAGCACTTAGTATGTGGCGGGCATTCTGATAGGTACTGGGATATACAGACAAAAATTGTCTTGCTCTTAAGGAGTAAAAAAACTGAACTCAATAAACCAGTGATTAGATTAACTACAAAACAAAAACAATTGGAGAACTCCCTATCTGACAAAAACTACCAAGAAAACTAAAAAAGTTTAGCAATAATTAGGTTTAGACCAACATTATATACCTTATGCCACAATTAAATAAAAATGCATATACGACCTAATAATAAAAGGCTACACCATAAAAAAGTTAAAAGAGAAGAAAATCAAGTACCTTTCCTAACAACGGTTAGACAAGAAATTCTCAACCAAATGGAAGCAAAGGAGACCACAAAAGACAAAATCATTTCAACAAGTAAATGAAAACATTTTATGCAAACAAAATCAGTTCAGTGGTGATAACAAAGGAAACTATGGACTGAGGAAAAAGTCTTTACATTATACATCTCTAATATTGGTTTTATACATAAAATAGATGGGAAAACAATACAAATATGTGACCAAGAGTCAAAAGGTACAGTCCTCAAAACAATGTGCTAACAACTAAATGGAAAGACTGCTCCAAGTCTGTATTAATTAGAGAAATGCATATTTTGAAGCAATCCCTGAGGTCCTAGAGAAAAGGTTATGAAACATACTTTCTTAGAACAGGATGTTTTATATATTGTTTAATCTGCTCTCCATACCAAATGTTTTTGCTTGTTTTTTTGTCAATAACAGAGATTCAGTCCCCAGTATGGATAGGAAATAACTGTAAAGACGAAAGGCATCAATCAAATGTATTTTTAAAAAATGCATCCCTTTATAAAATGATTCTCAGGAGAATACCTAGTACCATTTAATAAAATGTTCAGCATATGGTTAATGAATACAAATTTGTCACTAACTCACAATTTCTCAGTCAGTACCATACTCTTGAAAACAAGTTTATCAAATCCACTTTTAAGCAATTACCATCCTATCAAATATTTCCTAGTGGAAGCAGCTTATTCTTAAAGATTTACTTTTTAAAATTACATATTTGTGACATAAAGTCTTTTATTGATTTGGAGGACTCCCTGATGAGAAAACTTCATCTACAAAAAAAAGGTCAACATCCTCTCTCCGACTTAAGAGTCTTAGAGAGCTTTCTAGAGCACTGAGATGACCACACGGCCAATAAATATGCCACAGGCAGGACCAGAACCCACACCTTCCTGACTTTGAGTGCATATTCACTATGCCACGTGCTTCTTAAGAAATAAGAGGAAATTCAGAGAAACATGACATTTAGATGAACTAATGCAATGCAAAATAAACAGTACTGAAAGAGTTATACATAATAACTACAATTAAAAGTAAATTCTTGGAATGTTTTTAAATGCGTAAAATAAAACACAAAGGAAATCAATTAAAACCAAGTTCAGAGACTCCACGTTAAGAAACCCTGGTGTCAATGGGGGGGGGAAATCACTAAAAGGTAGCAACTCCAAATAACAAAAAAACCAATGAATAGCCCTAGAGAAGTGATAAGGACGCACATACCTCCTCCTCAAGGCCGAGAGGAGCGAGCACCCACACAGAATGTATGCAAGGTCAGATGAGGTCACTGTTGCGCGTTGGGGAATTGTTTTTCTTTGTTACAAGAATGAGTTAGTTGTCCGGAGGGGAAAGGAAGGTGTTTCCAGAAATGACTGTGATATAATGACAAAAGGCATCACTAAAACGCTTTTTCGGTTTGGTTTTGGTTTTTTAAAGAAAAAACCCCGGGCATGAGGAGCCGAGCCACGCACCCCGGGCAGAGCGCGGGGCCGATTCCCCCCGTGGAGCTGGCTCCGCGAGCTGCCTGGGGTCCTCAATGAGGGGCCACCCCTAGGCCCCAGTCTGCAGGCTGGGGAGACAGGGAGTCGAGGGAGCGGAACTGGCAGGTGGTGGGAGATGCTGGGCTGGGCAGCTCGACGAGGCTCCGAGCAGGGCACTGGAGGAGAAGTGGGCGGGGCTGGGGGGTGGGGAAATGACGTCGCGGTTAACGCGTTCACAGTGCGGGGCGAGCGCCCTAGTAACGGCGACTCCCCACGGCTCCGGCGGCAGCAGTGGCGGCGGCGGCGGCGACTGCGACGTTTGCTTCTCGGGGTCCTCGCCTCCGCTTAGCCGCGTAGCCAGTCTGTTCGTTCCCTCCTTCGCTATCCCGCCTCTCCGCGCACCAACGTGCACCGCCCTCGCCCTCCTCATCCTCGTCTCTCCGCAGCGCCGGCGGCGGGGCCCACCCGCATCCCTCCAAGTCCCTTGTGACCTGCGGGGCTGCGCTTCCCCCGGCCCCCGAGACGCCTCGGCTCCCGGCGTGGTGAGGGAGCCGGCATTTCGGCCCGGGCCGAGAGCGGGGAGGAAGGTCCCTGCCGGACGCGGAGGCCGTCAGACCCTGCGGTCGGAGAGGTCCGGTCCGGTCCGGTCCGGTCCCTGCGGGGGGGACGGAGCCGGCACTTCGGGCCAAGAAGGGCATCTCCGTGAGGGAGCCTTTGCCCTCGGGCCTCCCGCCCCCAGCCCGACCACCCGCCGCACCCCGGCGTTCCGATCCGCCCAGGAGCTGGGGGACGGGGATGGAGCTGCGGGGACTCTGGTCCTAGACGTGGCCCGTGGGGAAGATGGCGACTCCAGGGATGAGCTGGCAGCAGCACTATTACTCGGCGGCCGGAGGGGCGACGAAATTCTCTTCCTCGGCCGGGGCTCAGCAGTCGGCGTTTAGCATGGACTACAGCCAGGATCTCCATTTGAAGATGAGCAAGAAGATTGCTCAGCTCACCAAGGTAAGAGGCGCTCGTGGAGGGCCACCTCTCCCCGCCCCACGCCGGCACCTTGGGAACGCGGGAGACATCAACACTGTATCTAGGACTTGGAGTTCCCTCTACAGCCCCCACCCCAATTGTTTTCACAAGTGCCCATGCATTCGTTTTGAGTAATTAGGATTGGGGCAGGGGGTGACGGTGGGGGTCGGGTAGGGAAAGTGACTGGGAAAGGAAAGCCTGCGCCTTACCTGGCACCTGGAAGGGTTCAATACTTTGTGAAACTTTGTATGCAACTAAGTACAACTTGGAAAGTTAAATTGGACGGCGTGTTTTAGGCAAAACTTTTGAACCCCTACTCCCCCTAACTACCACTCCTGGCTTCTCTGATTCCTTACACCAGGCTGCCTTTCCGTATGGTACCCTAGCATGTTCAAATAGGATGACCCCGAATTCAATCAATTAATCACTGTCTTTTAATGGTTACATCATTTTCAAAAACTGTGAATGTGGAGGCAGCTTGGTACAGTGGAGGAAGTACTGCCTAAAACACAAACGAGTTGTATGACCCTGAGCAAGTTACTTAACCTCCTTGTTTCCTCATCTGAAAAATGAGGGTCCTGAATAGATGCCCTCTGAGGTCCAATCTAAATCTACGATCCTAAACTGCAGGTGGGTTGTTAAGCAAATTGGGGGAGGAGAATTTCTACACCAGGAGTTCCCTACAGCAATAAAATCTCCGATCTAGATCAAATAAAATCTCTTTGGAGTATTGCTTTGGGGGGCCTCTTGTTACCCCAGATGTCTAAAATTAAGGATAAAGTTGAAAAATTACTACGAAATGATGGAGACAAATTCTAACTTGTCCTGAGATACCTACCGGTTGTGATACCCCCTAAAAAAAGGGATACATAATTTACTAACGCAACGCCGTCCAATTTAACTTTCCAAGTTGTGCTTAGTTGCATACAAAGTTTCACATGGAATCTTTATTTAGTTAGATACTTCATACTGTTCCATCAGTATATATTTTTTCAAAGCATAACCCAAAATTTGGCCAAGCAAATGGTACCTAAAGGGAAGTATACAGTAAGTTTAGAATATGGAAGAATTCAGAGGAATTGTTTGCTGAGAAGGAAAATTTGATGCCTCTGAATTAGCTAGCTCTTGCTGCCCAGTGTTCAAACCTGATGATCAGTCTGTTAAGTGGCATACAGGTTATTGGTAATTTCTCAAAGGGAATAATGCATACTTCTTTGATAGTTGGAATTTTTGAGTGGGAATAGAGAATGCAGAAGACAGCACTGAAAAAGAGGTGGTGGGGCAAGGGAAATAAATGAAAGTGTAGTGGAAAGAATAAAGCAATGAAAAGAGAAAATACTGAAGGAGAGAAATTAAGGGAAGCCAGACAGGTAGGTCAGAAGTTTAACAGAGAAGTTGAGTGGAACAAATGAAGAATTGAGGAATAAAGAAAAAACTGGAAGGCTGCATCATAAATAATCACCAAACTCAACTTTAGAGTTCAGGTTCTTTCTGGTTGTGTCAAGTGGACTGAAGGTGGGCTTGGTTGTGAGGTTGGTACTTGTCGAGTTCTTTTTGTCTCTAAAAAAGTGATAGTTATATTCTCTCAGAGAAGTTAAATATTTAGGTGACTGAACGCTGAGTTTCTTGGAATAATGTTTTGAATGAGTTAGATATTTTAAACTTCAGAATTTTTATAATATTTTGATAATTTGATAAATAATTTAAATTTGATAATAAGCTTGCATGTATAGAGAGTCTTTAGGTTTGCAAAGTACTTTATAATATTTTCTTATTTTATTCTCACAGTAGCCTGGCAAGGTAGGTGCTATTATCCCATTATTAGAGATAAGGAAACTGAGGCAGGCAGAGATTAAGTAACTTGTCTAGGATAACACAGCTAGTAAGCATCTCAGATTTTCCTTGACTCCAGGTCCAATGCTTTCTGCTGTGTGACTTAGCGTGCTAGAATGAGGTACATGATTATACATTCTGTTGAATCCTATTAACTGTGTTCATAACTTTAGTTTGCAAATTCCTAAAATGTAAGCAAAATAACTTGTCTCTTCATATTTTTGTTTTCTCTCTGTTTCTGATTTCTTTCCTTCCCCCTTGTATTCTCTTCATAACTCGAAGTAAACCCCAGTGCAGTTATGTAATACAGATGTAACTAAGGGCTGAAAAGGTTTGCACAGCCAAGTGATTATCAGCTCTTGAGTATCCTTTTTCATTTTGGCTCTCTCTATATACACAATTTCCAGTCTCTGGGGATTTTTTGCCCCTTTAATGCTTCAGAAACTGGGTCCTATACCTAATTAAATGTCATTTCATCATCTTTGCTTGTATTACTGGAAAGAGCACAAGAATAGAAAGAAAATTGCAATTTTCTGAGACTATGAAGTTGCAGAGCAGGTCTTGATCTATATAGGTAGGAGTTTGCTGAAGAGTTCTGTCTCATAGTGTCAAACTCAAATAGAAACAGATCCCTACAGGTGGCATATTGACTTGGAAAACCACAAATTAACATTTATCTATGTTGTACTATATTTTTATTTGTTTTATTAATCATTTCCCAATTATATTTTAATCTAGTTCTGGCTGCACTAGGGAGTGGGATGCAAGTTTGGCACCTCTGCTGTATACCAGTAGGAGTTGTGGGTAGAATGGAGAACCCCTACTAAAATCCCACTCCCGTGCCTAACCCTGAATTCTTAAAAGCTTTGTCACAGGGCATAGGCCCAGTAACAGACTTTGTTTATCTCAGAAGTACCATAGATAAATTTTGAAAAGTTTTAACACTTAGATCCAGGGTGATGAATTTTTTAGTCTCAGCAAGTCTCAGAAATCATCTCGGAAATCTTAGAGATTGTAACTTTTGTTGGTAGAAGGAAAACTCATACATTTTAAATCCATATGTGTGTGTATATACATGTTCATGCAGTGTACAGGCACATGCACTCATACATGTGTGTGTACACACACACACGCGCGCACACTCTCATGCTGTGTCCCAAAAATCTTAGTGCACTTTTAAGTTTTTGTTTGTTTTTTGTTTTAGGCAATTGGGGTTAAGTGACTTGCCCAGGGTCACGCAGCTAGGAAGTGTCAAGTGTTTGGTCTGAGGCTGGCTTTGAACTCAGGTCCTCCTGACTTCAGGACCAGCACTCTATCCACTGTGCCACCTAGCTGCCCCTACTTTTAAGTTCTTAAAGCTCAAAACTGCACTAACATTTTGGGGATACCTTGTAATTATATATAATTCCTTTCTTGACAGCAGGTGTGGTGTTTCATTTTGTCTTTCTCCAGGGTTTTGCACAGTGCCTAAATAATAAACTGTATTATATGTACAAACTGATGGGTATATATATACACATTACATATTATAAAAGATATATTATTTCATAAGAGCAAATAATCTCTACAGTCTCTGCAGATTGTAATCCTGCCAAGTTTTAGTAGATAATTTTAAGATATATTATGACCAGAAAAATAAACCCTCTGGTAGTGAGACTGTACTAATCTAGGCTGGTCTTAGGAAGAGCCATACCTACTGAACCTGTCCTTGTAGGCTAGCCTTTCCAGCTTGTAATAAGTTCTTGCCAGAGGTTATGCCCTAACTTTATAACCCAAGATTATTTCCTCACCCAGATGAGGCATCAGAATAGGATTAGAGTATCCTTCTCAGCTGTCTACACATTTGGGAAAAATATATAAAATATTATTAAAATACATTATTTAACTACAGGAATTCAAATAAGGTCATGATAAATACTGTTCCAGAGACATCTTCAGTAAACTTGGTTTAAAAAATAACCCAAAGATTTGTGAAGCTGTATAATCTAGAGAATACCTGATTGGAGTAGTATTTGTTATAGGCACTTCAGCAAGAGTGTTGGAAGAAACATGGAAGTAGAAATATAGAATTGGACATCATTAAATTATTTTTTAAAAATAAGATTCTACCTCTTCTGAAAACTGCCTGTTCATCTTTTGACTATTTACCAACTGAAAAATGGCTTTTATCTTTATAAGTTTTGCTCAGTTCCCTATATATTTGAGAAATGAGGCCTTTATCAGGGAAACTTGCTTTAATTTTTTTCGCCTAGTTTGCTGTTTTCCTTCTAATTTTGGCTGCATTAATTTTGTTTGTTTAAAACTTTTTAAATTTCATATAATCAAAATTATGTGTTTTATTTACCATAATCCTCTCCATCTCTTCATTGGTCATAAACTCTTCTCTTATCCATAGATCTGACAGGACATTTTCCCGTGCTCCCCTAATTTACTTACACCACCTTTTAACCATTCTGATCTCATCATGGTATTCAGAGTGAAATATTGGTCTTTGCCTAGTTTCTGCCAAACTACTTTGCAGTTTCCCAGCAATTTTTGTCGAATGGTGAGTTCGAATGGTGAGTTCTTAATCCAGAAGTTTAACTCTTTGGGTTTATCAAACACTAGATTACTGTGGTCATTTACTTCTGTGTATTATGTAGCTAATCTATTCCATTGATCCACCACTCTATTTCTTAGACAGTAACAGGTTGTTTTGATGATTACCACTTTGTAATGTAGTTTGAAATCTGGAGTTGCTAGGCTGACTTCCTTCACAGTTATTTTTTCATCGATTTCTTTGATATTCTTGACCTTTTGTTTTTCCAGATGAATTTTGTTACTATTTTTTCTAGCTCTATAAAATAATTCTTTGGTGGTTTGATTGGTAAGTCACTGAATAAGTAAATCAACATAGGTAGGATTGCCATTTTTATTATATTGGCTTGGCTTGCCTATAAGCAAGTAATATATTTTTTTCAATTATTTAGATCTGTATTTGTGTGAAAAGTTTTGTGATTGTATTTATATAATTCCTGGGTTTATCTTGGCAGGTAGATTCCTAAGTATATTATACTGTCTGCTGTTATATTTAATGAAATTTCTTTTTTTATTTCTTGCTACTGGGTTTTGTTGGTAAAATATAGAATGATTTATTGTAGGTTATTTTA